GCGCCCTGGTCGGCCGCAAGGCCTCGGACATCGCAACATGCCCTATAAGCGCCAGGACCTGGTCGCACGAGCGCGGCGGGTCTCTCGCTGCAAGCCCGCGGTGGCCCCCTGCAAAGAACGCGCAAGCTGCATCGCGCTCCTCCTCCTGGCCCATGTCTTCCTCATCCGCCCGTCCTCCTGCAATTCACCCTTGCCCACCTTCCCCTCCTCCTCCTCCTCCTCCTCCTCCTCCATGCGCCTCCTTTTTCTCCCCATCGCCCTCCCGCATCCGATCTTCCACCTCGTCGTCCTTCTTCCTCCCGACCCCCTTCTTATCCCTCCCATTCCTCCTCCGTCCTCGCCAAGAATATTAAGCAAGGATGGGTTGCTCAGCTGCTCTTGCTGTCGCTCTCGCTGCTGCTGCTGGGGTCGGCCTTCGGCTTCGCCACGGCCTTGGGCTTCGCCTTGAGGCCCTTGGCAGCTGCCTTGCACTTCGCCTTGCTCTTTGCGACCTTCTGCGTCTTCAGCGGCGGCTCAGGCGCTTCCGAAGTCGAGCTCGAGCTGCTTGCCTTCTTTTTCTTGCTCTTGGACTTGCCGTCCTTGCTCTTCTTCTTGGTGTCCTTATCCTTGTCCTTGCTCTTTTTCTTCTCGGTCGTGCTCTGTTTCTTTTCAGCTTTGCTCTTCTCCTTGTCGATCTTCTTTCCGTCCTTGACTGGTTTCTTGCTCTTGTCAGGCTTGCTGTTCTTTTTGTGCTTCTTGCTCTTGCTGTTCTTGCCCTTTGACTTCTTTTTGTCGTTGTCCTCCGACGAGCTGCTCGACGCCTTCTTGACCTTGTTGTGCTTCTTGTCTTTGCTGCGCTTCTTGTTCTTCGACTGCTCCGAGTCGCTGGAGTTCGAGTCGCCGCCGGCGCTGGCCTCGGACTCAGCTTGCTCGGCCTCTTCCTCGGGCGCAGCTTCCTCCTCCACCTCTTGTTCGCCAGCGACCTTCTCCTCCATGACCACCTCGGACTTCTTCCTTGCTGGCGCGGAAAAGCTAGAGGGTGAGGGGGTGCCTCGAGAAGGAGGCAGGATGGGGGGGGGGCGGAAAGCGGGGAGAATGAGGGGGGGGTGGAGGCGGAGAAGAAGGGGGGGAATGGCGAGGAAGAGGAGCAGGGGGGGAAGAGCGAAGACGAAGGAGGAGGACGAGGAGATGGGGAAGGAGACACATGACAAGGATAAGGAGACGAATGAGGAGGAAGAGGAGTAGAGGGGGGGAGGGTGGCAGGGGCAGAAGGGTGAGGAGGGGGGAAAGTAAGACCAAGGAGGGGGAGGGAGGGGCAGTCCGTCTCGCAATCAACGCCCCTAAGAGCCCCCAAACGTGACCAAAGGCCGCAGCAGTTCCCAGGACAAACCCCACGAGCTATAAGACCCTAGGGCCTCCGAGAGCATCTCGGAAAAGCACGTGCGTTTTCCATGAGTTCGGGGCGGGAGTGGGAGAAGGGGGGGAAGGGGAGCGAGGAGGGCGGCGGACGCGGAGAATGAGGGGAGGGGGGAGGAGGACGAGAGGAGGAGGAGAAGGAGGAAGGGGGAGGAGGAAGAGGAGGAGGAGGAGGAGGAGCAGGAGGAGGAGCAGAGGAGGTAGGAAAAGGAAGAGGATGGCGGAATGGAGGAGGGACGAGG